TGTCTCCAGGTGGGCGCATTCCTCCCTTTGGAACTAAGACCTCTAAGCCTGCAGAGCATAAGGTTGAGGGGACAGGAAGCAAAAATTTTGCAAGTGGGTCACTAGGGGTAATAGTGAGTGGGGCCACTCCCATTTCCACCCCTTGATTCCTGGACCCGTGAATTCTGGCTATGGGAGAAAAAGCACCATATATTGGATGCGGGTTTAAAGCATATACAGCCTCCTGGAGAACACTGCCCCAACCCTGCAAGGTATTGCCACCTAGCTGGTGCCGTAATTGTGTCTTTAGAAAGCCATTCCATCGTTCTATCAAGCCAGCTACTTCAGGATGATGGGGAACATGGTAAGACCAGTGAATTCCATGAGCCTGGGCTCACTGCCACACTTCATTTGCTGTGAAGTGAGTCCCTTGATCTGAGGCAATGCTGTGTGGGATACCATGACGGTGGATAAGGCATTCTGTAAGTCCATGGACGGTACTTTTGGCAGAAACATTGCATGCAGGGAAGGCAAATCCATATCCAGAGTAAGTGTCTATTCCAGTAAGGACAAAACACTGCCTTTTCCATGATGGAAGTGGTCCAATGTAATCAACTTGCCACCAGATTGCTAGCTGATCACCTCAAGGGATGATGCCATATCTGGGACTCAGTGTTGGTCTCTGCTGCTGGCAGATTAGGCACTCAGCAGAGGCTGTGGCCATGTCAGCCTTGGTGAGTGGAAGTCCATGCTGCTGGGCCCATGCATAACCTCCATCCCTGCCACCATGGCCACTTGGTTCATGAACCCATTGAGCAATGGCGGGAGTAGCTGAGGAAAGAGGATGACTGGTTTCCACAGAACACGTCACCCTATCCACTTGTTAAAATCATCCTCTGCTGAAGTCACCCTTTGGTGAGCATCCACATGAGACACAAATATCTTCACTTCTTTAGCCCACTCAGAGAGGTGTATCCACATACCTCTTCCCCATAAATCCTTGTCTCCAATTTTCCAATCATGTTCCTTCCAAGTACCTGACCATCCAGCCAAACCATTGGCCACAGCCCATGAATCAGTATATAATCGCACATCTGGCCATTTCTCCTTCCAAGCAAAGTGAACAACCAGGTGCACTGCTCAAAGTTCTGCCCATTGAGAGGATTTCCCTTCACCACTGTCCTTCAGGGAGGTCCCAGAAAGGGGCTGTAGTGCTGCCGCAGTCCACTGTCGAGTGGCGCCTGCATATAGCACAGAACCATCTGTAAACCAGGCACGAGTTTTCTCTTCCTCAGTCATCTGATCACAAGGACCTCCCCATGAGGCCATAGCTGCAGACTAGGAGATGGAAGGTAATGTGATAGGAGTGGAGACCACAGGCATTTGGGCCACTTCCTCATGCAACTTACTCGTGCCTTCGGGTCCTGCTTGGGCCCGATCTGGAATATACCACTTCCATTTAATGATGGAGTGCTGCTGTGCACATCCAACTTTATGGTTCTGTGGGTCAGACAACACCCAGTTCATGATGGGCAGCTCAGGCCTCATGGTGACTTGGTGTCCCATGGTTAAGCATTCAGTCTCTACTAAGGCCCAATAACAAGCCAAAAGTTGTTTCTCAAAAGGAGAGTAGTTGTCTGCAGAGGATGGCAGAGCTTTGCTCCAAAATCCTAAGGGTCTGCGCTGTGATTCACCAATAGGGGCCTGCCAAAGACTCCAAACACCATCTCTATCTGCCACTGTATGTGTCCCCCAATTAATACTGGCTGACCTCTAAGATGGAAGTTAAAATCTTCGTTCTGCCCAATAACCCAGTTTCTCCTCCCCTCCTACATATTCCTTGATTTCAGGGGTCTTCATCACCATGTTCCTTCTTTTCCAGACTGGTAGTCCACAATTTCTCACTGAACTCTTACTTAAAATTCTCAGGAACCTCTTCTAAGAGGAAAACTGCCCATCAGAGCCAAAATAATAATAATAAAAAGTCTCCATTTGTAGCTGGTGTATTAGTTTCCTGGGGCTATTGTAACAAAATACCATAAACTGGGTGACTATAACCAAAAAAACCAAACCCAGTGTGGTCGAGTAGATCCCGACTCATAGTGACCCTATAGGACAGAGTGGAATTGCCCCATAGGATTTCCAAGGAGCAGCTGGTGGATTCGAACTGCTGACCTTTTGGTTAGCAGCCATAGTTTTTTAACCAGAGCAGAAATTTATTGTCTCACAGTTCTGGAGGCTAAGATTCCAAATCAACATTATCAGTCAGGCCATACTCCCTCCAAAGTCTCTAGGGGAAGATCCTTGCTTCTATCCCAGCTTCTGGCGGCACCAGGAGTTCCTTGAAGTGTAGACGCATCCTCAAGTGGCCATTCTTCCTTTGTGTCTCTGTGTCTCTTCTCTTCTTTTATAAGCACACCACTCAGATTGGATTAGGACCTTTCCTACTCCAGTATGACCTCATCTCAACTGATAACATCTTCAAAAACCCTCAGTATTTCCAAGCAAAGTCGTATTCACAGGTACCAGAAGTTAGGACTTCAACATCTTTTTTGAGGAGCACAATTCTGAAAACAGAGAAGACCAGAAAGATGTTTACCTGTGTTTTATTGAGTACACAAAGGCATTCGACTGTGTGGATCATAACAAATTATGGATAACATTGCAAAGAATGGGAATTCCAGAACAATTCATTGTGCTCATGCAGAACCTGTACACACACCAAGAGGCAGTTATTCCAACAGAACATGGATTGTTCTGAAACTGGAGGGTATAATAGCTGGTAAAGAGAATGAACAGCTTGTCTTATGAAAATTGATATACCCTTCTTAGATTTGATATGGGAAATACTAGAGTCTTAGCAATATTCGTTAATAGGGGGTGCATGGATGCATTATACAGAATTTTTTTGACCAAGCGGAAATTTTGGTCTTACCTAATCTAACAAATTTCCAAGATATTATAAAATAGAATTTGGAGTTGCATGATGGGAAGGAAAAGTGCAAATCTCCTCCAGTGACTGAAAAGGTCTGGTCTTAAACCAGTTGCCTTGAGTCCATTTGGACTCATGGTGACTCCACCTGTGTCAGAGCAGAACTGCATATAGGGTTTTCAAGGCTGTGACCTTTCTGCAGCAGATCACCAGGCCTTTCTTCCCAGACATCTCTGGGCACGTTCTAACCACCAACTTTCAGTTACCAGCTTTCAGTCAGTAGTTCAGTGCTAAACCGTTTGTGCTACCCATGAACTCTGGTCTGGTTTTAAGCCCCACTTAGTTTAGGTTTTAGGATTCCTGCTTAATCACAAGGAGGGGGGAGAAGGAAAGGGAGATCAGAATTAAACCAGACCTGAATATTACTAGTGAGTCTTGTGAGGGGAGGAGGGTATCCGGTTGTAGAATGGGGCAGGAGGGCATTTCTTCTGTAGGGGAACTTCTAGTGAATTTCCTTTGGCGTTTCTCCTGCCTAAGTTACTCGGCAGTCTGGGGGGAGTGGAGCACCTAACTTCTCTAAAAGCGTCTCCCCTAGTGCTTCTGTCAAGCCTTTATTCTACGTGCCTGCTGCACTTCTGCGAAGTAATTTGCTGCACTTATTTGCTTTTCAAGTACCACTGGCTGTTTCCTGGCATATGATACGCTGAGGGCTTCCTCGGTATTCACTTGGGTGCCTGCATTTCAGACCGTTTTGATGGTGCTTGACGAAATCTAAAGGACTCTGGAACGTGAGAGATCCATCTCCGACGCCTGGCACCCCTGCCACGCGAGTGCAAGAGCGCCTTGGCTGCCAGGCTGGCCTCTGACCCCCATTAGGATCCCAGGGTTACTGCGGGAGGGGGGAGATGGGGACCAGAATAAAGAGGTGGTTTCCCCATCCGTGCCATTATTCGGTCTTGGCCCCAGCCTCAGCCAGTTTGTCTGGAGCTGGTACAAGTTTGCTCTGCAAGTTTGGCCACGGAGACAGCAGGGCCAGTCCTCAAGAATCAGGTCCTAAGGGACAGCACAGGGAACGCCCTCACTCGGAAATTAACTCATTGGGAAGGGCATCCGCGAAGCCCGACCACGCGCGTGCCGGGAAGGGCGCTCTGCTCCAGCACGCCGCCCCACACAGTGGCCACCGCCGCAGCCACCTCTCTGCTACTGCCTACTTTTTGTCCTAGCTGCTGGTTCTTCCTCCCTACTCCCATTCTCCTCCCGCCCTGCTCCTCGCGATCCCTCCTCTTTCTCCTCCTGGTCCCTCCTCCTCCCGCCCTGCCTCCCCGCGCCCCCGCCCGCGCGAGCTCGACGTTTGGGCAGCCCCCGGCGCGGCGCGGCAGCAGCAGCCTCCGCCCCCGGTACGGTGTGCGCGCCGGCGGCCAGGGCTGCTAGAGTCCCGAGCGAGTCCCAAGCGAGCTTCGGCAGCCGCCGCACTCCCGGACCGGACGACAGGCCACCTCTGCCTTCGCCTGAGTCCCCGCCTCGCCGCTGCCGCCACTACCGCTGGGCGGCCAGGAGCCGCAAGCACCACGCACGGCCGCCTGAGTCCGTCCGGGATTAATTGGGGAGACCAGGAACAAGCGCCTCGGAGACAGCAATGCGACCCTCCAGGTTGGCCGGTGCCACGCTCCTGGCGCTGCTGGCTACGCACTTCCAGGCAAGTTGGACGCTGGAGGAAAAGAAAGGTAAGGGCGTGTTCGGCCGGCATCTCACGCCAGCACCCGCGACGCGCTTCTGACCCCGCGCAGCCCGCCTACCCCGCGCAGCCGGCGCACCGGCTCTGGGTCCCGCGGCTCCTGCCCCTCCTTTCCTGTTTCCTTGAGGATCAGCTGCGCTTCTGGCAGGGACCGTGGGAGGAACTGGACGTTTCGTTTCTGTGCTGGGCGAGTCTGCGGGCGGCCCGAGCAGGGGAAGCGCACCGTGCAGGGCAGCGGGGCTGCGGTCCCGGAGTGGGAAGCACCGCCGGGATCTCAGGAGCCCCCAGCGCGGACGCAACTTTCTTTCCTTACTCCTCTGATCTCCTGCCCCGGGTGGGCGGCTGGAGGCGGATACGAAAGCGGAAACTTGGTGCGGGGTCGGGGCCGGGCAGCTCTGGTGCCAGTGGCTGCCGGCTGGCGTTCCGGCACGTGCGCCGAGGGGCGCGGCCGGGCCGGGGGACGCTCACCGGGAAGCCCAAGCGGCTGGAGCGGCCAGCGCGTCCCACCCGGTGAGACCGCAGGGCTGGAGAAAGTTGAGGAAGGACCCGCGGGAAACCATCCTACCCTTTCGACTTCTTGGGACAGGCGGTTTCTCGAACGGACACACTCACTCTCCCCTTCACCCACGTCAAACCCTGAAGTCCTCTCGCAGGACTCGGCCCGCCAGCTTGGGTCCGGACTCTGCTCGCAGCTCTCTGCAAGCTCTTGTCTCGGGTGTGGAGCTGCAGCCTTGACCTCGGAGGCCCGGAGAACTCGTCTCTGTCACTACCTACCTGTGGCGACGGGGGGCGGGGGCTAGTTTCCTCATTTGTAAAAAGGGGGCTTGGGTCGGAGCCACTCTTTGGGCGCGGACCCCCACCGCTCGCCCTGGGTGCCATCCTCCTGCCGGACAAGGTGCGCCCTGGAACTAGGGCTCCCTGCCAGCCCGGAGCTCCCTCCTGAGCACCGGCGCCGCCTCGCCCCGTGGCGACTCGTTAGGTGGCCAACTCCCGGGGACTCCCAAGGTCTGTCCTCCACCTGGACAGCTGTTCTGCTTTTTTTCTCACGACTTTGCGGTGGAGCTGGAGCGAGTGATTGCGCTGGCAGCTACCGGACAGCTGGGTCCTTGTGACAAACCGCATAGAGACTGACCCTTCTCCCCGGCCGGGATCCCTCGGTTTTTCAAAGTAGGGCTCCCAGCAAACTCCCCCTCAGAACCCGAGATTTTTCCCTTTCGGGTGTTTCTTTTTGCTTTTTGAAACATCTGATATTGGTCCGACCAAAATAGTGAATTTAATTAAGAAAAAAAAAAAGGATTGATGTCTGTGGTCCTGTGTGCCAAATGTCCAGACTAACATGAGCGAGTCTGGCTTCGTGACTACCGACCATAAACCCACTTGACACGAGAAACATGCCTCAGAAGTTTAATTGCACAATTTCAAACTCGAGAAGCCTATGTTTGAAGAGTCAGGTCCGTACTTGCTGTTGATGTCATTGGCATAGGGAGTTGGGGTTTGGTGGTGAGTGATTAGTTGGGGAAGGGTTAAGGCAAAGAGCAGTGCTTCCCAAACTTCGCTGCACATTAGAATTACCTAAAAACAAAACAAAAACAAAAATGATGCCTGGCTCCCACCCCCAGGCATTCTGAGTTAATTGGTCTGGGATGAGACGTGGGCATCTGGATTTTTAACACAATCCTCAAGTGATTCTGTTGGGAATCCACGTTTAGGCACCACTGGCATAGAGGAAAAGATCGGTAAAGTCTCCGGAAAGATTACCTGCCAGTATAAAGAGCTCTTTTGGAACACCTGGAGTTTTCACAGTCTTGCAAAATATAGGAGAGAGGGGATGATTTCAATAACATTGGATTATTTTTTTTCCGATGAGGATGCCAGTGGAAAGCTTTTTCCTCATGTACCTGAGGGTGAAGCCCTTCCTCTCTTCCCTACCTGTGTTACACAGGAGGCTGGGATCCTGTCCCCCTCAGTCAGCAGACTGTAGACTCCTCCTAGCAGGCAATATCTTCGTCTATTCTACTGCAAACCCCTAGCCTCTTAGAGTGTCTTCAACACATCACTTTTTTCACTCCAGAAATGCTCACAGCCTTTGATGTTACTGCTTTGAACACTACTGTTAGTGCCTGGAGATTTGTTCTGAGAAAAACATAAATACACTTTAATTGGCTTGTTTGTCCAAATTCGCTTCAAACAGAATGTTCATGGATAAAATTGTGAGAGTAGGCAAACAAATGTCATTCTGTTAAAGTAACATAAAAAGACTAAATTTTAAGGGGCCAGTTATTAAAATGAGATATCTTTCTATAAAAATTGTTAAAGGCCCATATAAATCAAATACACTCAATTTTATTAAAAATATACTCGTTTTAGTGAGGGTTTTTGTTTCTAAGATGATATCTTCAGCACTTATAGCTAAGTACTATCAGACACTGTTTTAAGTGCTTTTTTAATCCTCGTATCAAGCATGTAAGTTGGATACTCTATATATGGGTAAACAGAAGACACAGAAAGTAAAGTGACTCCCACAGCTAGTTGGGAGGCAGAACTAGGATTCGAACTCAGGCTTTCTGGCTCCTGAGCCCTCCCTCAACCACCAAACTCCACTGCCTTATGTGAGCTCTGGTTTAGGAGAGTTAGGTCAGGTGTGTGAACGTCTGTCGTCAGATGCTGGAAGGAGGAGAAGGAACAGGGAACAGGCTCATTAAGATGGGTCCCTTGTCTGAAACTTGAAACAAGCGTCTTCTTGTTCAGTGGTCCAGACTCCTGCTCACAGTTATTCAGTAGTCACTCTGGCCGCCCTTTATGGAGGCAGCTCAGTCACCAAATTAAACAATGAACATGGAGATTGCTGGAGGGTTGTTTAGTAAGCCCTTTGCTCTTGCGAAATGGAGAGGTAAAGGTGGTGCTCTAAAAGAGATCCAAGGTGGTACTCCTGGGATGCAGTAATTCTCAACCAAGGGAGCTTTGTAGAAATAAGCCTGGTCTGGCCCCACCTCTAAAGACATTCTGGGCCCGGCCCTGGGGGCTGTATTAAAGAGAAACAAACAAAACCAGGGATTTTGGATTGTACTCAAAGTGAAGAACCAGCACACCTTTCTCTAAGCAGATCAGATATAAGCAAGCCCAGCCTGGGCCTGGAAGGCAGGAGGCTTGTCTTCTCATTCCATCTCTCAGTGACGGTGGACAAGTCACTTCACAGCTCCAGGCTTCTGAGTCCTCATTTCTGAATCCATAAGGGGAGAAGAAAGAAGGGGAATAGTAGTCTTAATGATTTCTACTATTGCTTCTGGAAGTGTGATTCTTTAGACCACTAATTGTTAGTCAAAGAGCCCTGGTGGCCCACTGGTTAAGCGCTGGGCTGCTAACCAAAAGGTGGGCAGTTTGAAACCACGAGCAGCTCTGCGGGAGAAAAGACCTGGCAATCTGCTCCCGTGAAGATTTCAGCCTAGAAAACCGTATAGGGGGGTTCTACTCTGTTATATGGGGTCACTATGAGTCAGAATTGACCCAATGGCACCCAGCAGCAAGAAGTATTATTCAGTTGGGTTTCAAATCTGAAAAGGAGACCCTCATTCCTGTGTCTGTCTCTCTGTCTGTTCATACCAGTATAGCACAGAGCAGCATAGTAACTGGCTGATGGCTCCAGTAGGCTTTTGACTCATTTCTGGCTTCATCTATTTAGTTTCATAATTCATAATTTTTCAAAAATTTATTCTGAAGTTTGAAGGCACAGATTGCCAAAATCCTCTGTACTGGGTAATGAGCCGTCCACGTGACAGGACTAACGTGTTTTGAAGTGTTTTCAAAGCTAGTATCAGTGCAGATGAAGGATTCAGTCCACCCTGTTTAAAAAGCAAATACTCTGCTTTTTCTTTGATCTAAGCTCCAGGACCAGCAACTAGCCTGAAACTTTTTTTAACAGAAGTGCCCAACTAACTCTTTACTTAAAGGCAGTGGAGGATTTTTAAGGGAAAGTAGCGCTAGGCTGGTGCCTCAGGCCCTGAAACAGAGATAGGATCAGAGTGTTGAGGACATTCAGCCTTTTGAAGGACTCACCTAGGAAATAATTTGGCCCCTGCAAAAGATTTGGCTACTGCCGTGTGATTTGCTGCAAAAGTTATGTGTGTGTGTGTTTTAATTTTGATTTACTAAGAACAGTTACTTTAGTAATTAAATACGGTGGACTAAAACATACCAATGATCATGAAGATGGCTCAGGACTGGGCCACATGTGTCTCTGCTGTACATAAGGTCACCGTGATTTGGAGCTAACTCAAGGGCAGCTAACAGCAACAAAAAGTACAGTTGAACCATTGACATGTAAGAATAGAGTGAAAACCTTAGCTTATACTGGTAGACCATTCTCAATTTACATCAGAGTTTATGCCCATACCTTCTCTTTCATTTTCTCCAAAAAGATTGTCTTTTCTAAGTAAGTCTCAGCAGTTGGCTCTTTGGACGACATCTCAAGATTATCTGCCATCCAGCCAATGGGCACATGCCGGTTTGTTTGAATTCGGGCAAGGATCTGGGCTTTGAGACTATGTCAGATAACCGGTTTGACTGAAGTTTTCACTTTTTCAGAGTTGTTAGATTAGGCAAAGCTTCCTACCTACACATTTAGATAGACACACTCAATTCAGTTGGTTAGAAAGCTCTCTGAGCCCCCCGGGGCCCTGGTGATGCAGTGGTTAAGTGTTTGGATGCTAACCAAAAGGTGGGCAGTTCAAATCCACCAGCCGTACCTTGGAAACCCTATGGGGTAGTTCTGCTCTGTCCCACAGGTCCCTCTGAGTCGGAATCCACCTGACGGCGGTGGGTTTGGTTGTTTTTTTTTTTTTTTCCTGAGTCAGCTGGGAGCAGGAGGGGTTGTTGCTGCCAGTGAGTAGTGGGGGCGTGTTTACTAAGCCCAGTTAGAAGCTAAATGCTGTATTTTGCATTTTAATCTTTGAAGACACTAAAGAACTCTACCAAATGCCTGGTCTTGTTGAC